ATCTCCAAACTGCCACCCTCGAACCTGCATTTAGCTGATAGATCTGCGAGCTGAACTCAACAAAAACATCCACACTTTAGCAGAAACCAAAACAGAAAGATCGATGGATCGAGTACTGAAAGCTGCCCGAGCTTCTGGTTCTCTCAATTTATCAAACCGCTCTCTCAAGTAAGTCTCTCATTTCTCAAGCATAAATTTACTTTCTTAGTATCTCAATTTCGCTCCCCGATCATCCTAAAACAGCTAGATTGTCATATTTTTATTGGATTAATTGTTTTCCATTTTCACTTTTAAGAACAGAGCATTTGAATTGTTGGTTTAATCTCTAGCATCGTATTTGATATGTAATTGGATTGGATTTCTTTTTGTTTTGGGGATTCGGTTTCAAATGAAATTAATGCTTTGTTTGTATTGTTTAATGATAGAGAAGTGCCCAACGAAGTATACAAAAGTTTAGATGCTGTTGGTGAGGGTGAAAAGTGGTGGGAGGTATTTGTCGCACTTACATATTTTCTTTAATTTTTAATCTTTCACTAAAGCAATTGTATTGCTTGCCCAACGATGGTCTTTGTGATCTTATTTGTATTTCAATTGGCATATCAGATATTCATATAACTCATATGTAACCTCTTGTTAAGTAGCTGTTACTGTGGCTCATTATCGTAGATGTATGTGTCTAATAGCATATTTGCAGGCTGTGGAGCTACAAAAGCTGATTTTGGCTCATAATAGCATTGAATCATTGAAGGAAGACCTTAGAAATTTAACTCAATTGTCTGTTCTAAATATCAGCCACAACAAACTTTCCCACATTCCAGCTTCTATTGGAGAGTATGCCATTTTAACTGTTAAACTGTTAATTGGTTTTCTTTAAGTTCTTTCTCTCCTCTCGCTTTCTTACATCATCGTATACTTCTTAATCTCATTTGGCAGGCTTCACTTGCTAAAATCATTAGATGTTTCGTTTAACTCGATATTTGAGATACCTGCAGAAATTGGATCGGCGACATCTCTGATCAAGTAGGCTTATTTAGCAAGTTTTTATAGTTGGCTACTGAAACATCTGTATAGAAATTAGAAAATTGAGTTTGTTATGATTAACTAATTAAATAATAGTCATGACGCCATGTTTTCATCATGTATGTTCAGGAACATATGAATCGCCCTGCCAGTTATGATTGAATGATCCCATTTATTTGTGATCACTTCAGGTTTGATTGTTCAAACAACCAACTAAAGGATCTCCCAAGCACCCTTGGTAGATGTTTAGATTTATCAGAACTCAAGGTAATACTTTTGCAAAGACGGTATCTCCCAGGCGCCCTTGTGATTTCCCAGTGTATCTATTGCTCTAACTAAGAATTTTACTGAACTTCATTACGATTGATCTCCACATTCAGCTAGTCTGAAGTTTGAACTGGCTCGTATTAATTGGGATGTATGGGTTGCAGGCCTATTTGCCCCATGTCAATATTTTATCTATTGTTCACATGTGTATAAATGCTATATAGCCTCGCTGTTTATCCTTGTCAATGACAATGTTACAATTTTGGTTATTTTGATCATTGCTTAATGTTAGATTCGACTCAAGAGATTATATCTGAAACCGAATAAAAAAAACCTTTTTCAAAGATTGATTTGACCATTTAATCATTTTATATTGTGGCATCCGCTATCTATTATTAACTTTTTCTATTGGACAATTAAACCAAATTTTCTTGCACGTTTTGCTGGCATAAACCTGGTTTGAGATAAACTTTTCCTCAGGCATCGAATAATTGTTTTACAAGCTTGCCAGAAGATCTGCAGTATTGTTCCAAGCTGAATAAATTGGATGTAGAGGTATAATTAGCTGCTTTATTAGCAGTTGTTGATGATAATGTTTAATTTTTCCTCCTTGACTATACATCTTCTAAATGTTCCAGGGAAACAAGCTAAAAATGCTATCTGAGAATATGATTTCATCATGGACCAGGCTTACAGAACTCAATGCTTGTAATATCTATTCTCTTGTATTTTATTTTGTGTGTTTTATGTCAATGGCACTTTGCTACCATTATGGTACCATATAAGTGTTTATAAGGCCACATTTGCACTACTAATTTTGTAGCAAAGAACATGCTGAGTGGTATCCCTGAGAGTGTTGGAAGCCTCTCACGTTTGATTCGCCTTGACCTTCATCGGAACAGTGAGTAAATTAAGTTTCCTTGTAGTCATATGTGTATGCAAACTTTATGTTAATGAGTGCTGTTTCTTCCTTTTGTTCTCATTGTATTTCACTTCTCTGCCAGTTGGCTATACCTAATATGTAATCTGTGTGTAAAATCTACAGGAATTTCATCAATCCCATCATCAATAATGGGTTGCACTTCCCTCATGGAGTTTTATATGGGGTCATTTCACTTTCACAGTTTCAAGACACATTTGGCTAATTTGCTGTTTATTGGATGTTAATGTTTTGATTTGCATCTTTAGTATTCATCTGGCATTTGTTTCTTTTAATTTTCAGGAATAACACGTTGTCATCATTACCAGCAGAGATAGGAGCCCTCACTCAGTTAGGGACATTTGATCTTCACTCAAACCAGGTGGCTTTATAAACTTTTTGTTCTGTCTTGCTACTAAATTTGCAGTACACATCATTTGTTTTTTGGGAACACGTTTTACATAGATGTTAGTGTTCAAAATGGGCTGGAGTATGGCATTTTCAACAATATAGAACTTTATCTTGAATCCTACATTGGCATGTCTGCTGATTGTTTCATAATATGTGCAGTTAAAGGAGTATCTAGTAGAGGCATGCAAATTGAATCTCTCTGTTCTTGATTTGTCAAATAATTCGTTGTCTGACTTGCCTCTTGAGATTGGTAAGGTTAACGTTTGATTCCAAGCAAGTAGTATTAGATTTGCTTCTGATGTTGTTTGCTTTTAATGCTATGAACCCTCATGCTGGATTTAGGTTATTGGGAATTCTTGCATTAGACGATGGTCTTATAAGTTACTCTTTTTTTGACAGGTCAACACATTTAGGAAAATAAATGAAAGGGGGTGCACTTCCACTTGATTAGTATTAACATTTTTTAGGCCTTGGAAACTAAAAAAAGGTGTTTTACAGTAGGGGTGTAACTTGGGTTGGGCAACCCCTTTTCAACCCGAAAAAATTAGGGCTTGGGCAAGGGTTTTAGTACTTGGGTTGGGCTTGGGTCAAAAAACCCCAACCCGAATTCAATTTGGGCTGGGCTCGGGTTAAGGCCTCGTGAACCCGAACCCGAAAAATTAAAATTTTATATATATATATATATTTAAGTAGGCTCCCTACTAATTCCACTAAGAATTGGTATCCTAGACCTACACCACCAGATCTTCAATATGAAGAAAAAAATGTATTAAATCAATTTTCTGTTCAGTCCAATAAACTCTATGAATGGAACATAGATGGATTAAGTGAACAGGAAATCATTAACAATATTAGTCATCTGTCTATGGTGATTAATAATTATATGACCAATCTTGACAGCCCTGAACCTGATATTGTTAAATTAATAACCTCAGGATTTACAGATGTTTTACGAGATTGGTGGGATAATTATCTCACCTCAGACCAAAAGGAAAGTGTTATTTATGCTGTACTTAGAGATGATGAAGGTAATCCAATTTTTGATGAAAGGATTGGATTGGCTAAACCTGATGGATGTAATACTCTTATATTCACCATCATTAAACACTTTGTAGGATTTTATTCTCATCTTCTTGAGATAAATTTAATCTTTTAACTTGTTTTTTAATTGGACAATCAGGACTAATATGGCCTGGTTTGCCACAATTAAAACATTTAATATCTTCTTGTGCTTTTCCTTTTCCTTTTGCTGATTCCTTATACGGTTTAGGCCGATAATCCTTTTTGGATTTATTAGAAATCTCAGTTTTAGGTTTAGAAAAGACTTCTTGTGTTTTTGATAAAACCTATTTTTTGAATAAGTGCTGTGATTTTTAAGTTTTTTGTGAGGTTTGGATTGGGAAGGAGCTACTGGCTGTAATCCATACTGTTCACAAAAATTATCTAATTCGTATTTGACTTTTTGCTTCTCATTTGTTAATTGCTTATTAATCTCAGATCAATGCACCATTTTAATCCTACACTTTGGATGGTGCTAATGAGTTCTCCATAAGCAAGATTATCATATTCAATAATACCAGTGTCTTTGCTAAGGGCTTCTCTTACCTTATGGGCAAAAAGATTGGGTAGTCCATTAACAAATTTTTCTTTCCAGAATGCTTTCTGGCAATCTGGTCGAACCATGACACGCGAAACAAAAACATCCTTATACCACCTAAAGTCACTTAAAGTGGGACATCTTAGGTTGGTAAGTTGGTCGTGGATCCTAGCAGTAATACTACTAGGTGTTCCTACAAAGTGTTTAATGATGGTGAATATAAGAGTATTACATCCATCAGGTTTAGCCAATCCAATCCTTTCATCAAAAATTGGATTACCTTCATCATCTCTAAGTACAGCATAAATAACACTTTGCTTTTGGTCTGAGGTGAGATAATTATCCCACCAATCTCGTAAAACACCTGTAAATCCTGAGGTTATTAATTTAACAATATCAGGTTCAGGGTTGTCAAGATTGGTCATATAATTATTAATCACCATAGACAGATGACTAATCTTGTTAATGATTTCCTGTTCACTTAATCCATCTATGTTCCATTCATAGAGTTTATTGGACTGAACAGAAAATTGATTTAATACATTTTTTTTCTTCATATTGAAGATTTGGTGGTGTAGGTCTAGGATACCATTCTTAGTGGAATTAGTAGGGAGCCTACTTAAAGCATTGAGCTTGGAAATGGGTTGGGTTATGCTGTGATCTGCAAACTGTTTTTCCAAGTTTTCAATTTCAGAATCAGAGTCATTGGTATCCTCCAGACTACTGTATTATGAACTTTCTTCAGTTTGGTTGATGACTGTCACTTGAGAAGTACTAGTAGATTCCTTTTTTGAGATGAGTGCATCAATTTGTTGAATTAGGTTTTTGTCTTTTAAACCTAAATTCTTTCTATTTTCAGGGAGACTAACTAATGGTCTTTCTACCTGTTCTGTTTTGAGATTATCTGTTTTAGTTTCAATTTTATCCAACTGTTTTCCTATAGTAATTAGGCTTTGGTTGGTAAAATTTACTTGTTCAACTACTTTCTTTTCAGATTCTAAATTGGAATCTTAAAAGGTGTAGCCTTAACCGCTTCGGTTAGATGTTTAATTTGAATAGTCTCTACCGGAGGGTGACTAGAAATTAAAACATCAGAATCTGTTTTCCATTTTTGCTTAGTTATTACCTTTACTTCTTTATGGAAGTTTTCTAGATAGTCTTCAAAAGCTATTTCGGATTCTAATTTATACATTAATTTTACCCATTCTTTTTTGATAGTTTCTTGGGTTTTACAAGGTAAAGATTCAAAAGCTTTTCTGAGAGGTTTAAATTCTACAGCTTTGAAATTCCCTGTCTTGGAATTCCGTCTGTTGACTCCTTCAAGATCATTCAGACTGATGCCTCAGAAATTGGCTATGGTGGTATCCTCCTTCAGAGAAAATCTCTTAATTCTCTTGAACAAATTGTTTCGATTCCATTCTGGAATTTGGAATAAGACCCAAGCCAATTACTCTACTATTAAAAAAGAGATTTTATCTATTGTCCTGTGTATCTCTAAATTCCAGGATGATATATTAAATCAGAAATTCCTGATACGGGTTGATTGTAAATCCGCGAAGGATGTTTTAACAAAAGATGTTAAAAATATTGCTACTAAGCAAATTTTTGCAAGATGACAATCTATTTTAAGTATTTTCGATTTTGATATAGAATATATTAAAGGAGAAAATAATTATATCCCTGATTTTCTAACCCGTGAATTTTTGCAGGAACCTCATGGCCACTAGAAAACCCAGTTCTTCTGGAACCTCCTCCAAAAATCCGGGGGGAAAAAGGATAAACAAGTCTTACCAAAACCTGAACCTGACTTGCCAATAGTCTTGTCAAACAGGTATCTGTCATTAGGAAACCCTAATCCAATGAGGCCAGTAGCCCCATCACCAGGGCCAATAGCCCAATCGTCCTTAGTCATAAGGCCAGTAGCCATTTCAACTACTGTAAACCCATTGACTTTTACCCAAATGGCCCAAAGACCACCTACCAGTACATTAACCAACCCTTACACATCATCTCAATCTTTTGTAGCTCATAAAAGCCCAAGAGTTGATTATATCAAGGCTTTTACCCAGAATGTATTAGCCATTGAATTTTCTCATTCCCAGTACAAGGATCCAAGAGATCTGGTGAAAGCCTACCTCTCTAAAGGTTGGAATTTCATTCCTGTTGATCTTGAGAAACCACATAGTTTCTACCAAGATATTCTCTTTTTCACAAAATCTATTCTTACCAGGCCCATACCAGATAAGAATGACCCATCCAAAACCCTTTATCATGCATTAACTATATGCAACATTATTTCTGTTGAGGAATGGGGATCTCACCCATCTTTACTCCGAGATCTTCCATTTCACACCAGGCAATTTAATTACTATGACTACATTGAGTCATGGTCCAAAATATTACTCTACCAGAATGAGGATTTGACCCATTCCTGGTTCTTATCTTTTCATAAAGATTTCAAGAGCCGCATTCCTGCGTGGTTCCTACAGTGGTGGCATCAACACGGGCCCATTAATTAAATCTTTCCAGCTGATCTTTTAGATCAGATTAATATCTTCTCATCTGTTTACCGTCCTAGTAAACACGAGAGCCCTGTTCCCCTTTTACTAATATTTATTTGCAGGTACAAAGTCCCATGGATTCTCAAATGGCAATGGGAAATTGTTGGATTCAATCTTGTCCGGCAATTTTATGCCAAATGGTGGCCTAGGTTCCAACAAGGCAACATTATTGCCCTGGTTCAAGAGGATTTTCCAGTCAAGGTACCAACTCCAGTAGCAGTCTCAAGTACCTTACTACCAGTCACTCCTGTTAAGGCCCAGTCTGCTCAGCAAATTAGGCCCAGCCTTCCTGAAAAGGCAGCCCAGCCAGAGAAATCTTCATCTAAGGGTTCCAGTAAGAAATCCAAAAGGAAGTCCAAGGCTAAGCTCCTCCAGAAGCTCCTACACCAGCTTAATTCGGATAGTGACTCGTCAGCATCTTCGCAAGGATCTATATCAGCAGAGCTCCCTCCAGGATATGCCCAAGATCCATTTGCAGCATTTGAAGATATTGATTCGTATGGATCTTGGGCATATCCTGGAGGGAGCTCTGCTGATATAGATCCTTGCGAAGATGCTGACGAGTCACTATCCGAATTAAGCTGGTGTAGGAGCTTCTGGAGGAGCTTAGCCTTGGACTTCCTTTTGGATTTCTTACTGGAACCCTTAGATGAAGATTTCTCTGGCTGGGCTGCCTTTTCAGGAAGGCTGGGCCTAATTTGCTGAGCAGACTGGGCCTTAACAGGAGTGACTGGTAGTAAGGTACTTGAGACTGCTACTGGAGTTGGTACCTTGACTGGAAAATCCTCTTGAACCAGGGCAATAATGTTGCCTTGTTGGAACCTAGGCCACCATTTGGCATAAAATTGCCGGACAAGATTGAATCCAACAATTTCCCATTGCCATTTGAGAATCCATGGGACTTTGTACCTGCAAATAAATATTAGTAAAAGGGGAACAGGGCTCTCGTGTTTACTAGGACGGTAAACAGATGAGAAGATATTAATCTGATCTAAAAGATCAGCTGGAAAGATTTAATTAATGGGCCCGTGTTGATGCCACCACTGTAGGAACCACGCAGGAATGCGGCTCTTGAAATCTTTATGAAAAGATAAGAACCAGGAATGGGTCAAATCCTCATTCTGGTAGAGTAATATTTTGGACCATGACTCAATGTAGTCATAGTAATTAAATTGCCTGGTGTGAAATGGAAGATCTCGGAGTAAAGATGGGTGAGATCCCCATTCCTCAACAGAAATAATGTTGCATATAGTTAATGCATGATAAAGGGTTTTGGATGGGTCATTCTTATCTGGTATGGGCCTGGTAAGAATAGATTTTGTGAAAAAGAGAATATCTTGGTAGAAACTATGTGGTTTCTCAAGATCAACAGGAATGAAATTCCAACCTTTAGAGAGGTAGGCTTTCACCAGATCTCTTGGATCCTTGTACTGGGAATGAGAAAATTCAATGGCTAATACATTCTGGGTAAAAGCCTTGATATAATCAACTCTTGGGCTTTTATGAGCTACAAAAGATTGAGATGATGTGTAAGGGTTGGTTAATGTACTGGTAGGTGGTCTTTGGGCCATTTGGGTAAAAGTCAATGGGTTTACAGTAGTTGAAATGGCTACTGGCCTTATGACTAAGGACGATTGGGCTATTGGCCCTGGTGATGGGGCTACTGGCCTCATTGGGTTAGGGTTTCCTAATGACAGATACCTGTTTGACAAGACTATTGGCAAGTCATGTTCAGGTTCCTCCTTGGACCCCTGTCCATACTTCTATTGTTCAACAGGTCAAAAAGTTCATTAAAAGTCTTCCCTGTCTTGGAATTCCGTCTGTTGACTCCTTCAAGATCATTCAGACTGATGCCTCATGTTAGAGTATGTGTGGCTCATATTTTGCTATGTGCATAATGGCAAGGAGGCAGATGCCGGAGCGTAGCGGAGCCCGCGATGGCATCTGCCTTGCGGGATTTATATAAAGGGGACGCTGATTAGTTGGGGGTGCGGGGGCAACGCCCCCGCGGTACGGTACAGGGGTATTTTTGTAAATACGTCCATATTAGGGTTATATAAATACTTAAGATGTAACCCTACTTCAATAATGGAAAAGAACAGCCGCTCGCTCTCGTGGATGTAGGCACATTGCCGAACCACGTAAATCTCTGTGTGTTATTTTCTCCTGCTTTCTTAATTGTTTGATTCCTTACTATTCACCATAATTGCTGCACGATCACAACACCTCAGAAATTGGCTATGGTGGTATCCTCCTTCAGAGAAAATCTCTTAATTCTCCTGAACAAATTGTTCGATTCCATTCTGGAATTTGGAATAAGACCCAAGCCAATTACTCTATTATTAAAAAAGAGATTTTATCTATTGTCCTGTGTATCTCTAAATTCCAGGATGATATATTAAATCAGAAATTCCTGATACGGGTTGATTGTAAATCCGCGAAGGATGTTTTAACAAAAGATGTTAAAAATATTGCTACTAAGCAAATTTTTGCAAGATGACAATCTATTTTAAGTATTTTCGATTTTGATATAGAATATATTAAAGGAGAAAATAATTATATCCTTGATATATATATATATATATATATAAAGCATTAGCACTTATTTTTTATTTTTGTTTTATATTTTTTGTCTCTCTCGTTAAAAACTTGGTTGAAGTTATTGGTTGTTAATTTAGGTGAATATTATATAATATATGTATTAGGTTTAGAACAACAAGCCTATTTTGGACTCTACCTGAATTGAACCCGTAAAGTAATTCGAAATTATCAACCCAAATTCAACCTGAGTCCGCCCGATTAAACTCGGGCAGTGCTCGGGTTGAGTTCCCCAACCCGAGGTAGGGATCGGATTAGGGTTAGGGTTGAAGATTATATACCTAGGGTTGATTGTCCAACCCACCCGAGTTGCACCCCTATTTTACAGTGATTACCTGTCATTATTACTATTCTATTTTTTTTTTGTGCTTTTTTTTTTGGAGGGGGGGAGTTGTAGCAGTACAGTGATTGGGTAAGGAATTTATGTTGTTATGATGAAAGTAAGTGATACAGAAATCATGACCCAAAAAAAATAAAAAGTCTGATACAGAAATGATTACCTTGCCTACTGACAGGGTATTCAATGCATATTCAAATTTGAAATGAAATGTCCGTGTTGTCAACTGAGAAGATGTTCCATGCATATGCAAATTATTCATCGGAACTCTTTTTTTTTTTTTGCAATTGTGGCAATACAAAATAAAGGTTCACATGAGTGAGGTGATTTTCCACTCCATCTGAATACAGGATTGAACTACTTGGTCAATGCTTGCTCTTTCTCCATTTGTCTGTTTTGGAGTCAATAAAAGTTGGAGTCTCCTCTAGGTTCTAACCTTAACAGGGAGCTTTTTCATATGCTGAATTGGAATGGAAACCATCTTAACATATTTGGAAATATCATAAGGTTTCCATTTAGAAAATAAGTTTCTTTCAAGTCAAAGCAGTCCTGTGGCTTACTTGTCGTGGAAATTGCTCCCTTATCCCCCTCTGAAAATGAGGGAATGGTAACAATTTATCTTTGTCAATGTTGTGCTTGACTCCACATTAACTGGAGGTGCACCTTTCAACTGAGTGAGAAGGAGATCACTTCCTATCAGAGTATTGGAAAAGGAAGCCTGTGCTTGACAAGTGGTACTACAAGCAAAGAGGTTTCAGATAGAACAACTCTTAGCAACGCCTAAATAGGTCGTACCCTTTGTTTCATGTGTGCATCTGGGTTCTAAACCTGGTTGACACCATGATACTCAATCCATTGTAAGGCTATTGGAGGATTATTTCTATTTTTGACTGGCAGTTTTTTTTTTCTCATAATTGGCTTTTAGCTTCTTCTCACATACAAGCCAGAGACTCTACATGATTATTTTAGTTGGATAGACTGTTTACTGTTGTTGATATGTAGGAGTGAGTGTGGAAGTTGTTACTCATCACCATCATCTTTGTGGTGCCTTTCATTTATAATTTGATTGTTATTTGGGCGCAACAGCATTCTATAAGAAGCAGCCTTTTTCTGCATGCTCTTTTACTTATAAATAAATTGGTGATTACTATGCAAATACAAGACTTGTGCTCATCTCCATTATGTTGCACACTTTTTATAACAGGTGTTAGTTTTCACTGATAATTGTTTCCTGCTTACAGTATATAAATTTGATATGTGGTATAAATATCATTACCTAGGCTTGATGACATCTTTGCGAAAACTTTTGCTCACTGGTAATCCATTGCGAACTCTTCGAAGGTTTGAATCAGTATCTCAGTTGTTTGCTTTAGTTGAGAGCTTACGCATGATGAAGAAATTATCTAACTGATGCTTATTCTTATCCAGCTCGTTGGTTTCTGGACCTACACATGCTTTATTAAAGTATCTTCAGAGTAGACTTCCAGCTGATGAAGGTACATTAATTTGGGCACTTGTTAGGGTTTTTCTATTTTTTAGATCGGACTCGATTTTCAAAATGAGCCATACCAAGTTTAGGTTATTTCAGCTTGTCAGTGTTACTTTTATCCCAGCTGACCCAAATTGTTCTCTGATGTAGAGACTGGTGTTTCTCCTGCAACTAAAGAGGAAGTAGTTGCAATGGCAGCTCGGATGTCTCTTACTTCAAAGGTATTTCCCGCAATGTAAATTAAAGAATCTCTATTTCTTCTTATTATTTCTTCATTATGTCTTCTTTTCTGTTATTTCCTTTCTTTTTTTTTTTAATATGGGGAGCGTTGTGGGGGAAGCGAAAAATCTTTGGCTCTTCTCAATTCCATGGTTGCAAATTTCGAAGATAGAAACTCAATGCTTTTAAAGCAGTCATTATTGGTAGCAAAAAAACATTTGTAGCTATGTCATTCATGAATTATGGATTGAAATTTAAATACTATTTTTCTAGTGGGGAAATTCTTTGAAAGCAGAACTACTAGAATCCTGAAGTCTATACCGAAGTTCCAGTGGATAACTTACAATTTTGTTTGTCAATTTGGCTTCCTGTTTGCATTGCGGGCCAGTATAGTCATCAATCCTGCTATTATCAGTCTCCATGCTTGCGCTAGAAAAACAGTATTTGGAATTTCATTACTAGTGGCTAGTAATGATAATGGGTGTCCCAGTTAATTCAGTATGAGTGGATATTTTTCTCACTGAAATTAGAAATCTTCTCCAACACATACAGAGGACGGTGTAGGGTTGAAGTCTCGATTGGCACATATATGCGCGTCTATTATGTATTAGAGACAGCATGTATGATCCAAGCCCATATGTTGTTGTCAAGTATTCAGGGTGTCTACTGTTTTTTCTATGGAGGGCTTGCTGCACAGGTTCTGTGGTGTAGAACAACATTATGAACTTATAAGTATCTATCTGATGGGATATATTAGCTTCATTAACTAAAGTACAGAAAAAGGGAACTCGAAAATTGAATTTGTGAAACCTTTAGAAATTTTAAATGGTACATGTTCACTCTTCAAGGTGTTTTATGGACATTCTTTTCTTCTTTTTGTCTAAATTTTATTTTGAATTATCTCTTTGCTAACATATTTTTCAATCTTCAATTTGTTGTATTTTTCAGGAACTTTCTTTGGCGGGGCTAGGGTTGAGTGCTGTCCCATCAGATGTATGGGAATCTAGTGAAATCAAAAAAGTAGATCTTTCAAGGAACTTGATTGAAGAGTTACCAGTTGAACTTTCCTCTTGTGTTTCTCTTGAGGTAAAAATTTGATGATCCAGTTTTCTATCGTTTACCTGAAATAAAGATAAGGCAGGATGATAGAAAGGTGGAAAGGCAATATGAAGTGATAATGATAACTTAAACCATCCTCCACCTATGCATATTTATTTAGGGGATGTTATCCAAATTGTTTAGTATGTCGAGTAGCAAATTTAGCTTGCTTTTGAAACTAGATACAACAATTAACATTATTCTGCTATAAGGACCAAGGTTATATAAAATATCTACAAAGTGTAATTTGGATGCATAGTTGGTTTGATGTTTTTGGGGTCATTCCTTAGTGCAATGGTAGCTTGGGCTCTCTACCATAGGACTTTGTGAGTTTGAATCTTTGGTCGTTCACTTTGGGCATATAATGCCAAAGGTTAGGCCGGTACTCTGTCTACCCTTCTCAGCCTCCTCAATTAATAGGGACCAAAGTGGGTAATGACCTTTAGTTGGTTCTATTTCAAGGTCTCAATGAAAAACCAGATTATCCACGCACACGAGTTTCAGGTGTCCAAGTATGGTTTGAGAACTATCTTGGATGTTCTGTGGCCAAAAACCATGCCATATGGCAAATTTTTCTTTTTGACCATCCACCAACTAAATATTCTCTTCTGGATTTTCATGCTCCATCTCGCTGCAGAAGGACTACAGCTGGGTCTGATTTTAGGGAGCAAGTTCAATAAATTAAGTAGGCTGGCTATCTGTAATCTACAACTTTTCCCTTGTGCAGACTTTGATTTTATCTGGGAACAAGATGACAGAATGGCCAGGTGCAATTATAAAGCAGCTTTCTAATATTCTGTGTTTGAAGCTGGACAACAATATACTTCGACAAGTAAGTATTGGATTTCCTCTCGTACAATAAGTGAAGATGATGCACAAGCACTAACCGCTAGTTGTAGGCTTGAGTATACAGCTTCCACCTCCCTCCCCCCCTTTCATTTCCTCCATGAGGGGAAATATTCTGGTTATGATATGGGTGCGTTTGTTGATCTTTACCTAATCTACACAGCAAAAAACCAAGTTATAAAAACAAAAAGCAAAAGAAAATACATGGTATTTCTTGTGTTTTCTTTATGTAGTTCTTCCAAATTTTTATGGGAACCCTCGCACAATTTACAAACTGTTTAACTGTTTAATTAATTACATTAGGGTTTAGAGCTTTCTTCAAAGACATGATACATGAGGAAATTGGTATGAAATTAGTAGATTGGTGAATGTTAGTTTGTGAATTGCACACTGTAATCCCAATTTTCCGTTTGAGAAAATATGTATGTTTTTTCCTATTTATCATGAAATACGCATCACCGTTTAGATGACCGTGTTCACGGATCTCTCTCTCTCTCCTCAATGCTTACGATTTCACAAAGTCAAACACCACAAATACAGTATAATACCTGCATGCATGCAAATACACGCACACACTCACCTATTGGAGCCAGTTTACATGTTGAATGAGCAAATTGGCTACCATTGAAGCTTGCAAGGAATTCTCAAATACTAACTCTCAACTATATAATTGGAATGAATTGACCCTTCCCTGCATAGATGAGCTTTCTTTAGTGGGTCTGACATTTTAACGAAGGTAGCTGAAATTGTAGTCCTAAAAGTCAAAACAGAAGCGTATGATACAAATATAAAGAGAGCTTGAGTTACACGGGAAGATTTCATTATTCTGTATGATAATATATCCAATAATTGATTTGTTTCAAACACCTTACAGTTTGCTTGCTTCATAGATTCCGTCAGATGGTTTCCAAGCTGCTTCCAAGCTTCAGGTTCTGGATCTAAGTGGTAATGCTAATTGTTTACCGGAACATCCAGCATTTTCTAGCTTACCGCATTTAAAGGAGCTTTACTTGAGGTCTGTTAATGAGAAATCTCTGTCTTCATATGGGTGTGTTTGATAGATTGTTCAACACTTGTGCTATTTTCTTACAATTCCAATCTGGCTCAACAGACGGATGCAGATATCTGATGTACCATCAGATATATTGATTTTACAGGACTTAAGGAGTCTTGATTTGAGTCAAAATTCCCTTCGATTGATTCCAGAGGTAACAGTTTCTAAATGCTTGTTATTTCACTTTCAAATTCTTGCAAATCAACTTGAAGAATTTGTTGGAAAATAACATTATTTACTAGCTTTAGTGCTGCTTTACATGAGAATGGGTTGATATCCATTTTAATTGTTTATACATTGTAACCCCTAAATTGGGGAATATATGACATGGCAAAACAGAAGGCTATATGTTGTAGCAAGATTTACTGCAATTGTCCTTCAAAAATTTAGAAGTCAAAACCCAGTGCTGAGGTGAGGCAAAGTCTGGGAGCTTGGCTTCTTATGGTGAACTGATTCTTCATTAGATTGGTGGTTCTCCTACCAGTTCCTGTTAAGATGCTTTGCAAAAATCATGCCACTGTATTAAGTATGACTTATCCGGTATGCATAGGAGAAGTATACATCTTAAAGTTTCATGTTGTTTCAATGAAATAATATCTTATAACCAAATGGGTAATAGTGACGGATGCTGCTATTACACTTAGTCTCTGAAGGATGAGAACCAACTATGTAGCATCTACATTGAAAATTCAAGTATTGTATATGTCATTAGTCCGATCTTTTGTAGGAATTTTCTGTAATAACGAACTTGCAAAATGGATCTATTTATCATAAAGAGATTTGTCATTCCAGACCTTGCTTCACCTTAATTGTTATTTGAATAAGTAAAACTTCTGTCTTGGTCCGAGCTAGGATAACATTTCTCTTTTGCATGTCCATGAAGTTTTGAAAAATCCAAACATTTCAGAGATAGATAGAGAGGTAGGAATTTATTGAACGAACCGCACTCCTTCATATACGTCAAGAGTCTATTGACGAGAAGGGGCTAGGGAAAGCTTGAACCCAATTCCTACAGTAATGAATATGTGAACAATTAAAATTCTTGGGGAGATACATTTATGTATTGATAAGATCTCTTGAAGCTCGATCTCTCCACCGGATGAACCATATGATGATAGAAGAGCTTGTACCACCACGAGTAAATATTTCATAGTAGCATCATTAGACCATACATCTTTCTTAGTACATCCAGATAATAGGCGAGTATAAACTGGAACATTCTGGAGTTACAAATAGAACCACATAAAAACATTCCTCCTAGAGTCGTCGTTAATACGAATAAGAGAAACTCTGTTATAGTCATTTCTGTACATTCAATGTACTCTTATTTGTGAATTTAGGGTACTATTTAGCAAAGAGATGCAATATCTCTGTTAATGAAATTTGTAACAAGATGAGCGTGGTTAACAATTACTTTGTAGTTTGGAGTGTAGACTCTCCATGTATCTGTTTTACATTGAAGGTATTATAGGCTGCCATCACAGTGCTTTATCAGATTATATGCATTCTTGCTAGATATGCATCAATGTTAAAGGGGGTCTTTGTCCAGGATCCTATTACCAGTTATCACTTGTCTCATATTTTGGTCACTGTTGATAAAATATAAATGGAATGCAACGTCGGTGTTGAATATTTTGTAAAAACATGAGAATTGGGATGCCTTTGAATATAATGCTGATTATGCCATACTTGCTTGGTGTCCAGGGTTTCAAAAATCTTACTACTCTTATGGAGCTTAACCTTTCAGACAATAATATCACTACGCTTCCTCCAGAACTGGTAAGAATGCAATGCCCTTGTTTTACAAATTTACCAATTTGTTAGGATAATGTAAACTGTGATGCAAATGATAGCAGGTGATGCAGCGTTTATTCTGATACAATTCTTAGTGTTCCATGATAAATCATCATGAAATTTCTTGAAAACTCAATCTCTATCTGGCCAGAATTAATGAGATATGAAGAAATTGGATTGTCCACGACAATCATCAAACCTTGACTGAAATGAGTCCCCACAATTCTGACTGTTCAATTTGAAGTGTCTCCTATTCTCACAATCCTGACTAACCAATCTGATGTGTCTTCTCCTGTTAACTTGCATTTTTCTTTGTACCTGTCAGTTTGTAAGACATCACTGTTTGAATGGCTCCCTTTAGCAATTTGGTTAGAAGGAAATGATATTTTGGGGGCCCATAGTAAATTGTTGGGCCTTAACCTAGTATGAGTTCCCATACCACCGTATAAACCGTCTCCTGATGGCTGGTTCAGTTAATGTGAGAGCACATTGGCTTTTCATCACTACATTTTGGCCCCCTAACTTTTATTTTAAGTAGAACTACAAGAAGTACTGCTTGTGAAATTGTCAAGTATGCTCTGAGAGGGTTTTATTCACTAGTTTGCATGATAGAATTATATTGTATCATTACAATGGTCTTAGCTGGAAAGTTACTTCTGCAGGGATTGCTTGAACCCAGCCTACAAATGCTAAAACTTGATGGAAACCCACTGAGAAGGTACACCATGTCTCTTTTCCTATTATCTTTATTGTTTCTTTTTCTTCTTTTATCTCAAGTAAGAAATTTCATCAACGCCAAGAATTTTAGACAAAAAAAAGAAACCCAGCCAAGCCGACTATTCATGGAGGCATACCCCCTCTCTACACCAACTTGAAAGTCAAACAACGAATGGCAACATTCTTTAAAACAATCAATAAACTAACAACATTCTTTATATAACCAATTCAACACGCATGGAATATATGTCGTATATACCTAAATTTGTGATAACTTTTTTTAGTTTATTGCACTGCCAGAGGCATAATTAGGATTAGAGGAAAGCGTTATGATGATAGGCATGTCATACCCTCGCTCTTGGTTTAAATGATTTCTTTTGTAGAAGCTAAAATTGGTCATTCTCTTGCAGCATTCGGAGGACAATTTTGGATCGAGGAACTAAAGCTGTTTTGGCATACTTGAAGGACAAAATTGTAGAGCAGTAGTCTCTCTCTCTCTCTCTCTCTCTCTCTCTCTCTCTCTCTAGGTGGGTGTGTGTGTGGTTGCGAGCTTTGCATTTGTGCGTGGTGTGCTGCACTATTTTCGCTATTGACTTCAAATTTGTGGAACTTGAATTAGCAGGCCAAAGTTATAGCTTAACTGCATAGTTTCATATTTATTCAATTATGCTCACTGTCGAGCAAAAGATGATTCCCAAGTAGTTCACGCCTTTCCCACCTTGTCCCTTGTCCCTTGTCCCCGAGGCAAGGTTTGGGTCTCACCCTCCCCATCCACTGTACATTGTACTCTGTTGTTGGAACCAAAAACTAAAGAGTTCACGTGTCTGTAATTTTATAAATTCCTTGCTTTTATGTGATTGATTTCTACACTATTGTAATTGCACAGTTGATCAAGAACTATTCTATTCCTATAGTCTCGTCATAATCATAATCAGTAAAAACGAATTCAATTTAGCAGACCCCGTGTATCGCCATCTTATAATCTACCCGATCAACTATTGTTTTGGCGATTTCCTTTTGACCTGTTGTGTTGTGGGTACGACCAACTTTGTACGAATAATACCAGAAGGTAACCCACATACAGTTCACATTGTACGGTACACGGGACTAAAATGAGTAGTTCTTTTTGAAGTTTTACTTTTACTGGCTGTCTCTGAATTTTTTGAATATATGTGGAATGTAGCAGCCTTT